ATGGGTTTCTAGATGGGTGGTGATCTTGCTTCTTAGGACCCTTTCAAAGATTTTTATGATATGGGATGTTAGTGCTATCGGTCTGTAGTTCTTTGCTTTTGCTTTACTGCCCCCTTTTGTGGAGTGGGGCTATGTCTGTTGTTTTTAGTAACTGTGGGCTGACCCCCGTGTCCATGCTCCCTCTCCATAGGATGGTAAAGGCTCGTGATAGGGGCTTCTTGCAGTTCTTGATGAACACGGAGTTCCACGAGTCTGGCCCTGGGGCAGAGTGCATGGGCATGTCATTTATCGCCTGTTCGAAGTCATTTGGCGTCAGGATAACATCAGATAGGATTGTGTTAACCAAATTCTGTGGCTCTCACATAAAAAATTCATTTTGATCTTCGACTCTCAGTCTGGTTAGCGGCTTGCTAAAAACTGAGTCATATTGGGACTTGAGTAGCTCACTCATTTCCTTGCTGTCATCTGTGTAGGACCCATCTTGTTTAAGTAAGGGCCCAATACTGGACGTTCTCGACTTTGATTTGGCATAGGAGAAGAAATACTTTGGGTTTCTTTCAATTTCATTTATGCTTTTAGTTCTTCTCGCGATTCCTGACTCCTATAAAATTCCTTTAGCTTAAGTTCGATGTTTGCTATTTCTCTGACCAGTGTCTCCCTACGCATTTCAGATATATTGACCTCTTTTAGCTGCTGTGTTATTCTTTTCCGTGCCTGTAAAGGGAGCGCCTGTCTCTTTCTATTTTACATCTACTCCTCCTCTTTCTTAGAGGAATAAGCCTTGTGCATACATCGAGTGCCACCAAGTTAATCTGTTCTAGGCATAAGTTGGGGTCTGTGTTGCTTAGTATATCTTCCCAGCTTATATCAGTTAGGACTTGGTTTACTTGGTCCCACTTTATGTTTTTGTTATTGAAGTTGAATTTGGTGAATGCTCCCTCGTGACTAATCTCATTATGTCGGTCTGGGGCTCCGCGCACACATGTCTGAAGCTCAATTATGTTGTGATCTGAGTATATTGTTTTTTTATATGGGGACATTTCTTATCAGATCATCATTGTTAGCGAAGATGAGGTCTAGTGTATTCTCCAGTCTAGTAGGCTCTATTAATTACTGGTTTAAATTGAATTTTGTGCAGAGATTTAAAGCTCGTGTGAGTGTGAGTTTTCATCAGAGCTGCCTCCTGGTGTTATTACTGCAACAATATTATTTGCTATATTCCTCCATTTTAGGTGCCTTAAGTTGAAATCCCCCAGGAACAAGATGTTGGGTGCAGGAGCTGGAAGATTTTCCAGACAGTGGTCAATTTTTAACAGCTGTTCCTGGAATTGCTGGGATGTTGCATCCGGAGGCTTGTAGACTACCACAATGACTAGGTTTTGGTTCTCGATCTTTACTGCTAAAACTTCCACTACATCATTTGAGGCATTAAGCAGTTCTGTGCAAACAAGTGACTTTGCAATGTACAAGCCAACGCCCCCCCTTTTGCCTGTTCACTCTGTCACATCTGTATAGGTTGTAACCTGGGATCCATATTTTGTTGTCCAAGTGATCCTTTATGTGGGTCTCAGTGAAAGCCGCAAACACTGCCTTTGCCTCTGCAAGCAGTCCATGGATGAAAGGTATTTTGTTGTTTGTTGCTGGCTTTAGATCCTGTATATTTGCAAAGAAGAATGTCATCGGACTGGTGGTATTGTTGGTACTGGGGGGGGATTTTTTTTTCCGGCATTAGTATCTGTATCTGTTGGTTTGGAGTGGAGGCCATCGACTGTGGTTCCACTCCAGGAATGACTGGATTTGGTGTACGATTTCTGCCATTTCCTGCCAGTTTTTTTTCCTTCCTGGCTCTAAAAAACCTCTCCCTCTTGAGTGGCTGTGGCTACCCAGGTTTTCCCATGGCCTGGATGTTTTGTATCTTTTTGTCCCCTTTAGATGGTGTGCCTGGCAATTTAAGTTACAGCACAGTCTTTCCTGTACTGAAGAGGTACACATTTCAGGGTGAAAAAGCTTACAGGAAGGGAGTTTGCATTTTCCTGTTGTCATATGGGCACGGCACTTTCTAGGGTGGTCATAATTGCACGTCCCATCTGTTTTTCCAGATTTACCATGTCTGCAGATACCAAGTGCATAGTATGTGCGCAGGCTTGGTTTCCGTTTGCCTTGGGTTTCTGTGACTGTATTCCCTGTTGGTGCATGTTTACCTGTCTTATTCCTATCCTCCCTAGCACCAACAATGGAGCTCCCACCAGTTGTGTTTGGTAATATATCCTCACTATTGCTAGTGGAGTCCTCTTGTTTGCTATTTCCTGTGGTATTTCTAGTTTGCAATATTGGTTTTATCTTATCTTTGACTACACTTGTTTCCCCACTATGGCTCCTGTCCCCTATGAGGTCATTTATATGCATTCCTTCCTGCGTATAATTCCCGACTACCTGGACAAAATCTCCAGCTTCACCATTACTGTCTCCCAGGACAGCACTTCCAGCTTTACCATTACTGTCTCCCAGGACAGCACCTCCAGCTTCACCATTACTGTCCCCCAGGACAGCACCTCCAGCTTCACCATTACTGTCTCCCAGGACAGCACCTCCAGCTTCACCATTACTGTCTCCCAGGACAGCACCTCCAGCTTCACCATTACTGTCCCCCAGGACAGCACCTCCAGCTTCACCATTACTGTCTCCCAGGACAGCACCTCCAGCTTCACCATTACTATCTCCCAGGACAGCACCTCCAGCTTCACCATTACTGTCTCCCAGGACAGCACCTCCAGCTTCACCATTACTGTCTCCCAGGACAGCATGTCCAGCTTTACCATTACTGTCTCCCAGGACAGCACCTCCAGCTTCACCATTACTATCTCCCAGGACAGCACCTCCAGTTTCACCATTACTGTCTCCCAGGACAGCATCTCCAGCTTCACCATTACTGTCTCCCAGGACAGCGCTATCAGCCCCACATTTACTGACTACCAGGACATCACCTCCAGCCTTACAGTTTTTGACTACATGGCCAGTATCAAGGGCAGTACCATTCAGCCCAGACTTTTTATGTTCCCATCTGTTGAAGAAAGCTTCCAGGTTTTCTACGAAAGCAGCTTTGATGTTATCCTCTTTTAATACCCTTGTGATTTTAGTCCACAGATTTATCTCATTTGGGCATACCCAAAAACACTTCCCTGTTTTAATACTGCTTGTAGCTAGTTCTTGGATATCTGCACAAGGGGCGTGACACCAATTTCCACAAAAATGACAATTTATCCATGTGGAAGCCCGTTTGTTTGATTGATTGCAGACTACACAGAGCTTCATAATGATTTGAGTGGTTGATTTACTGTAATTCTACTAGCAACCTCTTGAATACTCTATGAATAACCTCCTTAAATGAAGCTCTAGTTATTTGTATTTCTATTTCTAACTTTACTTGTATATTGGACAGCTTACCGTGTATGTTCCTGACTTATATTTATTGTTTGTGTTATCCTGGGTTATCCTGGGTGGCTAACCCTCCCCCGGGTTATCTTTGGTGACTAACCCTCCCCTGGGTTATCCTGGCTGACTAACCCTCCCCTGGGTTATCTTGGGTGGCTAACCCTCCCCTGGGTTATCTTGGGTGACTAACCCTCCGCTGGGTTATCCTGGGTGGCTAACCCTCCCCTGGGTTATCCTGGGTGGCTAACCCTCCCCTGGGTTATCCTGGGTGACTAACCCTCCCCTGGGTTATCTTGGGTGACTAACCCTCCCCTGGGTTATCCTGGCTGACTAACCCTCCCCTGGGTTATCTTGGGTGGCTAACCCTCCCCTGGGTTATCTTGGGTGACTAACCCTCTGCTGGGTTATCCTGGGTGGCTAACCCTCCCCTGGGTTATCCTGGGTGGCTAACCCTCCGCTGGGTTATCCTGGGTGACTAACCCTCCCCTGGGTTATCTTTGGTGACTAACCCTCCCCTGGGTTATCCTGGGTGACTAACCCTCCCCTGGGTTATCCTGGCTGACTAACCCTCCCTGGGTTATCCTCGCTGACTAACCCTCCCCTGGGTTATCCTGGATGACTAACCCTCCCCTGGGTTATCCTGGATGACTAACCCTCCCCTGTGTTATCCTGGCTGACTAACCCTCCCCTGGGTTATCCTGGATGACTAACCCTCCCCTGGGTTATCCTGGCTGACTAACCCTCCCCTGGGTTATCCTGGATGACTAACCCTCCCCTGGGTTATCCTGGCTGACTAACCCTCCCCTGGGTTATCCTGGATGACTAACCCTCCCCTGGGTTATCCTGGATGACTAACCCTCCCTGGGTTATCCTGGATGACTAACCCTCCCCTGGGTTATCCTGGATGACTAACCCTCCCCTGGGTTATCCTGGATGACTAACCCTCCCCTGGGTTATCCTGGATGACTAACCCTCCCTGGGTTATCCTGGATGACTAAACCCTCCCCTGGGTTATCCTGGATGACTAACCCTCCCCTGGGTTATCCTGGATGACTAACCCTCCCCTGGGTTATCCTGGATGACTAACCCTCCCCTGGGTTATCCTGGATGACTAACCCTCCCCTGGGTTATCCTGGATGACTAACCCTCCCCTGGGTTATCCTGGGTGACTAACCCTCCCCTGGGTTATCCTGGGTGACTAACCCTCCCCTGGGTTATCCTGGGTGACTAACCCTCCCCTGGGTTATCATATCATAAATCATAAAAGTTATTTACTCACCAATGAGTCATTCTAGACTCATGATGGTGATGTAGTGAGTACTAGTGAGGGAGGCGAGTATAGCAGTGAGCAGGCAGACAGGAAACAGTTTGAAGGAACAGCAGTAAATAAATAAATAACAAAAAGGCACAATACCGTGACTGGAACGATACACAAATAACCCGCACATAAAAGAGAGAAGCTTACGACGACGTTTCGGTCCGACTTGGACCATTGACAAAGTCACACAGCAGTAATTATGACAGCAGCAGCGTGCGGGAGAATCACATAAAAACAGCAATTTACTCACCAATGAGGCATTCTAGACTCATGATGCTGGTGTAGTGAGTACTAGTGAGCGAGCACAGTATACTAGTCAGCGGGAGGACAGGAGTAGAGCAGCAGGAGCAGCAGAAACAGCAGTAAATAAGACAGCAGCAGCAGTAGTAGTCAGTGACTTGCACTTGTGGTAAACACTGCAGCATTCACTACTGCATTAACTTCCCTCACATCTCCTCCCTACACATCCCCCACAGACCTCACACCACCACAACAATCAATAACCTTCAGGCTTAATTATGTGTGGTGTTAGGAGGAGGTTTAGACGATGAGAAGAGTAAAGTAGAGGTAAAATAGTGTAGACACGAGTGCGAGGCAGCAGCAGCGCCGGACACACCTTACGTCACACCGCCACTTATTTTACCTCCCCAGGTGGGTTTAGCGTTCCTTGCCTCCTCTCCCGGGGATTCTGCGTGTATGAGAGGGTGTGGGTGAGGCTGTGGGCGTGGGTGTGGGCGTGAGGAGGGTGATATGTGGGTGTAATAAGGGTTTAATGTGCTTCTCCACCCAGGGGTAAGTCTCAGCTCAACCCAGGTGTGTTTAGCGCTCCAGGGGCACTGTGTTGGATGTTGTGGACGTGGGCGTAGGTGTGAGCGTGGGTATGGGCGTGTACAAGCATCGTACAATAGCAGTTGAGTGTTTTACCCGCGTCTCCTCCATCGCTAGTCTCACCTCTGCCCCAGACGGGTTTAATGCTCCATGGGCATTATATACGGTATTGTAGGCGTGGGCGTGAGGGCGTGGGTGTTGTGGGCGTGAGGGCGTGGAGACTCACCCACGCCAACACTGGCGCCCATTGTCAGTTCATCACGTTTGTACAATGAGTCACCTTGTGTCCCGGGGCCGTAAGTCACTCCCGGGCCCCTGCATGGCCCACACGTGGCCCATATGCATCCATGGCCCACATGTGGCCCATATCCATGGCCCACACATGGCCCATATCCATGGCCCACACATGGCTCATACATTCATGGCCCATATATGACTCATACAATCCATGGATTACCCATGAATGGTCCTTATATGACCCATGAATGGCCCCCACATTATCCATAAATGGCCCCTACATGACCCATGAATGGCCCCTACATGACCCATGAATGGCCCCTACATGACCCATGAATGGCCCATACATGACCCATGAATGGCCCCACCATGACCCATGAATGGCCCCAACATGACCTGCAAATGGCCCCTACATGACCCACGAATGGCCCCTACAACACAATAAGTATCAGGGGCCCAAGACTGTTCAGCTGCCTCCCAGCATACATAAGGGGGATTACCAAAGGACCCCTGACTGTCTTCAAGCAGGCACTGGACAGGCATCTATAGTCAGTATCTGACCAGCTGGGCTGTGATCTGTATGTAGGGTTCTGTGTGGCCAACAGTAACAGCCTGGTTGATCAGGCCCTGATCCACCATGGGGCCTTGTCACAGACTGGTCCGTGGGGGCGTTGACCCCTGAAACCCTCTCCAGGTATACCCCAGGTATACATGACTCGTGTATAGTAGGGTTTATTTTCCATGGTACATAATTTTACATTATGTACAGTATGTACTGTTTTATTGTACACTGAAAGATACTTTCTTGTACATTTTGGGCTGAATTAAAATTATTAATTACATAGTAGTTACATAAATGTTGAAAGCAATTAAGTTACATTATAGTATAGAAATAAAGTAATTAAATATAATGATTATTTTAAGTAATAACTCTTGTTGCAACAGCAAAAGTAGAATGAAGGATTGTAAATTATGGGAGTATAATTTATTGTACTACAGTAGAAAAGTGGAAGTGAGGTGGATGACGATGTACTCAATAATGAGGTTGCAATAAATGTATTAAGTTTGAGGCATAGGTACACGTAAGTTGCTGATTTCCATTGAGGTCTTCATGATACTGAATAAGTTTTATTCTCCTAGGTGTGGGTTATTTGTGCATCAGATGCTGTTATAATGAATCATTATAATATTAATATCTTTATTTCTACATGTACAAGGTATACAGGCCTAGCTGACATCAGTGACATACTACTGTATAGAAAGCCTCTTGTTATGCAGAGCATTTTGGGAAAATAAGGTCAGTTTTGTCCCAGGATGCGACCCACACCAGTCAACTAATGCCCAAGTACCCATTTTACTGATGGGGAACATAGACAGCCAGTGTAAGGAAACATGCCGAATGTTTCTACCCTCACCGAGAATCAAACCCAGATCCTCGTCATGTGAAACGAGAGCTTTTAGCCACCAGGCCATACCACCAGGCAATGGGGTACTGTGGTCAAGAGGTGCTTTATAACAGTGGTTTTGAAGGGTTGGTAGAGGGGAACATTGTGGTAGGTTCTGGTAGACAGTCCTTGATTCAGGGGCCTTTTATATTTGGTGTATTCTTACTGAGTTCAGTTGAACATGGAGGATGTTAGACAGGTAAAGATTAAAAGGTCACAGTACTGTGGTTGGAACAATTCACCAAAAATCTGCTCTTTGGAAATGAGCCTTGTGATAATTTTTCGGTCCGTTTTCAATCATTGTCGCGTTACCATTGTAATTTAACAGTGGTCCAGGACTGACCAAAATGGTGTCGTACTTGTTATTATAATCAAGGTAAGCACTACACCTGCAAGGATAATATCATAAGTAAGTTCATTTAGGTACAGATACACATATATATAATTATCGTACATAATTTAATGTGTGTGTAAATTACCTAGGATAATCCCAGTGGAAATAAGACACTGACTTTTGGGTTATTCTAGGTAATTTACACCATGTATGATACTATATTTTCTAGCATAAATGGTGCCCTTTTTCCACAAAAAAACATGGAAAATCACCCTGACCCTTATATTGTATCTCATAAATGTCAACCAGTGACCCAATCAAACTTTGTTACTATTTAACTTCATTACCTAACAGAATACAGTGGTCCCTCGCTTTTCATAGTTCTCGGCAATCGTAAATTTCGCCAATCATAGGGGTATTTTTGTATAAACATGGACTCGCTTTTCATAGGTTGACTCGCGAATAGTAGTTCGTCCAGGACGCTTACGCACGGTGTGAGCCGGGGAGGCCTCCTTACCCAGCCAGTCTGGCATTGTTTACCAGTGAGTGAAGGTCCCCTCAAGTGCTCCTACGAAATATTTCATAATATTCCACTCGTTTTAGTGCTTGCAAGTACTAAATAAGCTACCATGGCTCCAAAGAAAGCTCCTAGTGCCAAGCCTGTGGTAAAGAAGGTGAGAAATATGTACAGTGACAAAGTCTTGTACCATTTTAGGGAAGTGTTAAAGAGACGCCAGAAACAAAGCTCTCTCCACAGTTACTTTGCGAGACAGGACTAGAGTGACTCTCAAGGTGGTCCTAGTGGCATTAAGAAACAGAGAAGAGAAGTAACCCCAGAAAAGCAATTGGTACCTGAGGTGTTGCTGGAAGGGGATTCCCCTTCCAAACTGTAAACAATCCAATCTCTCTCCTCCTCCAGTCTCCCATACACTAAGAAGAATCTCCAATAAAGGTAAGTGTTATGCTGTTAATGTTTCATTCATCATTTCCCATTGTATTGTTTATATACTACATGTATATTTCATGTAAAAAATTTTTTTTGTTTTAATACTTCCGAGTGTCAGAAACGGATTAATTGTATTTACATTACAGTATTTCTTATGGGGAAAATTGATTCGCAAATCGTAAATTTCATTTATAGTAGCTCCTCCAGGAACGGATTAATTACGAAAAACGAGGGACCACTGTACTCCATTCTACTGATTACACAGCAACACAGTAAATGACCATATGACCTGTCTTTGTAATACTCATTTGTACTAAATTGTTATCTGTTTTACAATAATTTTTGTACCACTGAATATATCATTGCTTAGTTAATCTTAAGTTAATTTTAAGCCTGCCCATAATGCTCTGCATACAAGGGACTTTGGCATGCTGCACTTTAAAAATTGTATTCCTTGTATTTCTCTGTATCATGTTCAAATAAATAAATAAATAAATAAATAAATAAGGTCATGGTCAAGGGTAGGCTTTGTGTTATGCTTTAGCAGTTATTTACTTATGTTGCATTACAACTGCTTGGAAACATCATCATATATGTATTATATGCTTGTTTGCCCTATGTACTGGAAAATATGGTAACTGTACTTGTGTGTATCTGTGCCAACATAAATTTACTTAACCCAAAAAAGTTAGACAAAGTGACCTGTTTCCATTGGAGTCCATATATTATCTTACTATTTCAACCCTAGCAGTAAGTTACAATAGGAATCGATCATGATCATAACCTTTTGGTGATCCTCAAAGAAGTATTTGCTTTGTGTATTATGAGTGTGTTGCAGCTCACTAGGAAGTGTTAAATCGTGATTAATACTGTTTTTGATACATACAGTATATAAAGCGCTGTGTAAGTTTAAAATTTTGGAAGAAGACGAGAGTTGTCCAGCACCTGTTTCAGTGAAACTTTTATGCTTAGTTTGCCCAAAATCCTTTGCACAATAAATTTTTCTTTTCAGCATTGAACAGAAAATGTATCAATTTGTTTGTATCTTAATTGTGTAAGAACTAATCAAACCTATTGCAAACCCATCCTATTTAACTTTCTAGACTGTACGTATATGTTTCTTATAAGTGTCAATATACAGCAGATTAGAACAATATATATTACACATATAGTTCTGAAATAGTGCTATATTACTGATATAATCTCTGAAGCAGTTATATATTACAGATATAATCTTCGAAACAGTGATATATTACAGATACTATATGTAATCTCTGAAACCTAAGTAGTACGTTGGAAACAGCAACCATCCAGGGAGATACTACCGTCCTGCAAAGTGTGTAAAACGAAGTCTGTAATTGTTTTACATGGTGGTAGGATTGCTGGTGTCTTTTTTTCTGTTTTCTGTTTCATAAACATGCAAGATTTCAGGTATGTCTTGTTACTTCTACTTACACTTAGGTCACACTACACATGCATGTACAGTACAAGCATATACATACATATACATTCCCCCTCTGAGTTTACTTCTGTTTTCTTACTAGTTCTTGTTCTTGTTTCCTCTTATCTCCATGGGGAAGTGGAACAGAATTCTTCCTCCATAAGCCATGCGCGTCACAAGAGGCGACTAACATGCTGAAGCAAGGGGATAGTAACCCCTTCTCCTGTATACATTAAAGTTAAAAAGAGAAACTTGTTTTTCTTTGTGGGGTACTCTGCTTTGGTGGGATGTGGCTGGTTTGTTGAAAGAATAATAATCTCTGAATGTGATATATTATAAATATAATCTCTGAAACAGTGATATATTACAGATATAATCTCTGAAACAGTGATATATTACAGATATAATCTCTGAAACACTGATATATTACAGATATAATCTCTGAAATAGTGATATACAGTGGACCCGCGACCAACGATGGCATCGTCTAACGTTAAATCCGACTAGCGATACATTTTAACGCAAAAATTTTGCCTCGACTAGCGCTAAAAAACTACCAACGCGATTCATTCCATTCGAGACGAGTCCACTTGCAGCCTGAGCGCGCCTCACTTGTCCCGTGGGTGCCAGTGTTTACAAGCAGCCAGCCACCGCGGGCGCATCCAAACATACAATCGGAACATTTTATATTATCACAGCATTTTAAGTGATTGTACCTGCAAAATAAGTCACCATGGGCCCCAAGAAAGCTTCTAGTGCCAACCCTGTGGTAAAAAGGGTGAGAAATACTGTCGTACCACAGTCAGCTGCTGCTGCACCACCGTCAGCTGTTGCTGGACCAGTCAGCTGTTGCTGCACCATGGTCAGCTGTTGCTGCACCAGTCAGCTGTTGCTGCACCGGTCAGCTGTTGCTGGACCAGTCAGCTGTTGCTGCACCACGGTCAGCTGTTGCTGGACCGGTCAGCTGTTGCTGGACCGGTCAGCTGTTGCTGGACCGGTCAGCTGTTGCTGGACCGGTCAGCTGTTGCTGGACCGGTCAGCTGTTGCTGGACCAGTCAGCTGTTGCTGGACCAGTCAGCTGTTGCTGGACCAGTCAGCTGTTGCTGGACCAGTCAGCTGTTGCTGGACCAGTCAGCTGTTGCTGGACCAGTCAGCTGTTGCTGGACCAGTCAGCTGTTGCTGGATCAGTCAGCTGTTGCTGGATCAGTCAGCTGTTGCTGGATCAGTCAGCTGTTGCTGGATCAGTCAGCTGTTGCTGCACTATGGTCAGCTGTTGCTGCACTGTGGTCAGCTGTTGCGTTGCTGCACCACCATCAGCTGTATTACTCGAAGATGTGGAGAGTGTGTTGTTGGTGTGGCTTAACGTGAAACAATTACCGAGAAACGATTAGCCCCAGAGGGTTAGCCACCCAGGATAACCCAAGAAAGTCGGTGCATCATCGAGGACTGTCTAACTTATTTCCATTGGGGTCCTTAATCTTGTCCCCCAGGATGTGATCCACAACAGTTGACTAACACCCAGGTGAACAGGAAAAAATGCCTGGAACTAGTGCTCATAATGGTGAATTTAAGGCCAGCAAAGGTTGGTTGAGAGATTTAAGAATTGTAGTGGCATACACAGTGTGATAAGGCATGGTGAAGCTGAAAAATTCCAACCCCAACAAGTGTTCAATTGTGACGAAACAGGCCTGTTCTGGAAGGAAATGCCAAACAGGACCTAAATTACTCAGGAGGAAAAGGTTCTCCCAGGATATAAGCCTATGAAATACGTACAGGCTTACTCTGTTGATGTGTGCTAATGCTAGTGGTGATTGCAAAGTGAAGCCTTTATTGGTGTATCTCTCTGAAACTCCCAGAGTGTTCAGGAAAAACAATGTCCTCAAGGCTAATTTGTGTGCTGTGGAGGGCAAACAGTAAGGCATGGGTCACTAGGGACTTTTTCTATGACTGGTTACACCATGCATTTGCCCCCACTGTGAAAAGTTACCTCCCCTCCTCCCATCCCATCAATCATCACCAGATCTTCAATAAAGGTAAGTGTCATGTAATTGTACATGTCTTCTTCAGTTTGTGTGTATTAAAATTAATATTTCATGTGATAAATATTTTTTTTTCAATACTTTGGGGTGTCAGGAACGGATTAATTTGATTTCCATTATTTCTTATGGGGAAAATTAACTCGACTAACGATAATATCGACTAACGATGAGCTCTCAGGAACGGATTAATATCGTTGGTCAAGGGTCCACTGTATTACAGATATAATCTCAGAAATGCTGATATCTTACAGATATAATCTCTGAAACACTGATATATTACAGATATTGTCTCTGAAGGAGTGATATATGTAATCCCTGAAGCAGTGATATATTACACGTACAATATGAAGCAGTGACATGTTGCAGATATTATCTGTTAGTGTGGGGATATATTACAGATAGTTTCTGCAACACTGATATATTACAAATATAGTCCCTGAAACAGTGATATTTTACTGAGATAGTTACTGAAACTGATATATTACTGAGAAAATCGTTGAAAAGGTGATATTTTACTGAGATATTCACTGAAACAGTGATAGATTTCTGAAATAGTGACATTGGTATATTAGAGATAGTCTCTAAAGCACTAAGTAAACATAAATCTAAAATAGTCTGTGTTCTTCTCAGTTTTCAAAGTGTCATGGAAACGGTTCACTGTTATTAGAATTACTATCATGGGAACAGTTCACTGTTACAAGAATTACTATCATGGAAACAGTTCAGTGTTATGAGAATTACTATCATGGAAACAGTTCACTGTTATGAGAATTACTATCATGGAAATGTTGATGAATGGTTCAGAGAACCGCCATGTTGATAAATTAGACACACGTGCAACTCTTGGGTATCTTTATTGAGGAAACGTTTCGCCACACAGTGGCTTCATCAGTCCATACAAAGGAGAATCGTGAAGAACAGGAGGAGAATGAGGTAATCAGTCCCTCAACCTTGAGGGACTGAAGGTTGAGGGACTGATTACCTAATTCTCCTTCTGTTCTTCACGATTCTCCTTTGTATGGACTGATGAAGCCACTATGTGGCGAAACATTTCCTCAATAAAGATACCCAAGAGTTGCACATGTGTCTAATTTATTATCATGGAAATGTTCACTGTTACGAGAATTACTATAATGAAAACTTTAGAAGTTAAAGTAATCTAATCAAAATGAGGTAAAAAGAAGTTGCTGGACTATTGTTTCATAAAGACTATACGTGTATACACATAACCTTGTATTTCCATTGGGGTCCTCTAATTTCCAATAGGCTCCTTAAATTTCCATTGGGATCCTTGATTGGATATAGTATGTATTTATTTTTCAGAGTGTCGGCAGCAACAATGGCAGTAAACGTGTTCTCAACAAGTGCGACCACAGAGAACCTGAGTCGTCATGACATGCTGAACTGGGTCAATGACTGCCTCCAGTCCTCATATACAAAGGTGGAAGAGTTGTGCACTGGGGCTGCCTACTGCCAGTTCATGGACATGCTTTTCCCAGGTGAACCAACTTATTGTGACACACTTATTGAAGGTTGTATATTCCCAGAGATGCTTCTCTCTGTACAATCAGCTCACATATGAAGATCCTCTATATAGTGGAATTTTGTAATACAGTTGTGATAGAGCATCCAAAATTGAATAGCACATACTGTACCATGAAGGCCTTTCTGGGTGCTGTTGTTCAGTTTTGCTGTACTTTTTCAAAAAAATCACGATATAGAGGAAGTTTATAAGAGCTAATTATATATACACCCAGAGGTGTGTATATCCTTGTATATTTACCCAGAGGTGTGTACATCCTAGTATGTATATACACCCAGAGGTGTGTACATCTTTGTATATACATTTAGGTGTGAATGCATGTACATATATAAATAGAAAGGTGTATATCTGTGTATACTGTAAATACACAGAGGAGCCCAGACTAGGTGCTTTAATATGTTATAAATTAGCCAAGCAGTCACTATGATCCACTTCTTGGAGAACATGTTAGAACAATTTGAACTTCTCAAGTCATTCATAACAAACTGGAGTCTTACAGTGTAAATTTTATTTCTTTATGCAGTACAGATAATGTAGGTTACATGTAATAAAACATTGTTAGGCACAAAAGAAAGCCACTAATATGCAGTGCATTTCAGGCTAACTAATGCTAATGCTTAAATGTTACTTAACTCTTTCATTGTCCTGACCCCCGATCTTAAACTTGTCAACAATCTCCAAGAATTAAAAAAAAAAATACTTATGAAATGGTAAAAAATCTCTGAAGGTAATAAAACAAAAAAGTACAAAATTTGATAGAAAATCAGGCTTTCTCTAATTTTGCTGCCTCAGCGATATTTACACATCAGCAATTTTGCTCACTTTGAGTCCTATTTTAGGCCATTTACTTTGTTGCATTGACCAAATTCTTAGCTGTTTCACTAGTATGTTTTCCATTTTATTGTTTGAGCACAAAAATTGCCCAATCAGCTATTTCAACTACCCCAAAAAAGTGTTCAGAAATTGGTAATTTGGCCAGTTTCACACAAATTTCAAAATATTCCAATTTCAAAATAAGGTTTAGAATAAACAGTGCAGGCATTCCTGGCACTAAAATAACATTTCTCCTGTTCATTAGTTATGTTCCCAGACTTTATGCATGAATTCCATTTTGATTTTTTTATTCACACAAAAATAAATTTACTGTTATGTAATACAGTAATAATTGTATAAATAATATGAGCGCATTTGTAAATGCACGTTATACCTGCCAGTTGGATGTGTGTTGGATGAGTGATGTGATTTGTTTATTCTTGAATGCCAGCAAAAATCGAACATTACTGCTACTTTGAGCTCAATTTCAAGCTATTTTCAATCCTGAAACCACTCAAAATCATCTCTATTTCTGTAATACATATTCCATTCTATAAATGAAGCGAAGAAGCTGAGAATACAATCACTAAACCATATGAAATCAAGTCACAGCAAAAATCTCTATTTTAAACTAAAAACAGTCGTGGTATTTTTTCTCATCATGCACTGTGTGCTGCAGGATATCTTTTGTATGGTGCACACTTACCACATAGACCCATTTTCTCATATCTAGGTCCAAATTTACCACTCACAGCTTATCTGAGTGAGCTGAGCTCATGGCGAAGAACTACAGCACTGACACTGGCTCTTCAAAGCAGTAGAACTACAGCACAAACCCTGGAGGGGTTAATGTTTTGTTCCAGGTTCCATGATTCTGAACAGCAATTTTTATAGTGAAGCATCTCTTGATGTATATTACAGATCTTGTTCTTAATGTCTTGTTCCGGGTTCCATAATTCTGAACAATAATATATATAGTGAAGAATCTCTTGATGTATGTTACAGATCTTGTTCTTAATGTCTTGTTCCATGATTCTGAACAGTAATGTATATAGCAAAGCATCTCTTGATGTATATTACAGATCTTGTTCTTAATGTCTTGTTCCATGATTCTGAACAGTAATGTATATAGTGAAATATCTCTCGATGTATATTACAGGTCTTAATGTCTTGTTCCAGGTTCCATGGTTCTGAAGAAAGTTAAATTCAACACAAATTTGGAACATGAGTACATCAACAACTTCAAGATCCTACAATATGCCTTCAAAAAACTGCAAGTAGATAAGGCAAGTGTTTGTGCACTGTTACTGACACTTTTATCACTTATTGTTATTTAAAGTGCTGTTATTGTTATTTGAGGTGCTGTTATTATTTGAGGTGCTGTTGTTATTATTTGAGGTGGTTATTATTTGAGGTTTTGTTATTGTTATTTGAAGTGCTTTTACTGTTGTTTGAGGTGCTTTTGTTGTTGATTGAGGTGCAGCTGATGTTATTTAAGGTACTGCTGTTATTTAAGGTGCTACTGTTGTTATTTGAGGTGCTATTATTATTTGAAGTGCTGCTTACTAACTTCAAAAATATGTAGTTATGAAGAAGATTGTTAGCACATTAGGTATCTTAAGCATTGTAGTGTTCAATTATGTTGTTAAAAGTTACCATTTTAATTATTTTTTACTTCTGAATCATACTACCTTGGCTTAAAGTGTGATAAGTAGTGATGAATAAAACACCCATGTAACACTGGCATACATCAATGGTAGGATAAGACCCATGAAATTCAAATTCAAATTCAAAATTTATTCTCTTTAAGGATTACAATGCTGAGTTTACAGAATTTGGTTATTGTGTGGTTTACATGTAGTAAAATAATAATTACAGAGTGTACCACTAGAACACCTAGCATGGCTAGGCATTTCGGGCAGACTTAAATTAAATCTTAAGTTTAAAATATTACAAAATTATGAGGTTAGTTGGTATTATGGCTAAGTGACTAAATACTAGTTTGTGAGTTTAGCAATGTGAATGCTTTTGTTTTGGCACTATACATAGTTTCAGTATTGGAGTATCACAGGCCAACTTATGACTAGATAAGATTCATTATTTTGAGATTGAGATTGATATTTCTGTTTATGGTCAAATGGGTGAGTGAGTGTAAGTGTTAACCACCAGGTGGTATTCGTGTAATTAGTTGACAGGGTGTATCAGGGAGATAAGATGTTTTCTGATGGTAGTTTTGAAGGTGATGAATGTGTCTGCAGTTTTAGAATTTTCAGGTATGGTGTTCCAGATTTTAGGGCCTTTCACATACATTGAATTTTTGTAAAGGTTTAGTCGGACACGGGGAATGTCATAGAGATGTTTGTGTCTGGTGTTGTGTCTGTGGGTTCTGTCCCAACTATCAAGAAAGCGTTTTAGGTCAAGGTTAATATTGGAATTTAAGGTCCTGTAGATGTAGATTGCACAGTAGTAAGTGTGGATGTACTGAACAGGGAGTAAGCTTAGATCTATGAAGAGTGGGGGGGGTGTTGCCAGGGATGGGATTTAGTGATTATTCTTACTGCGGCTTTTTGTTGGGTTATTATTGGCTTTAGGTGTGTTGCTGCAGTTGAACCCCAAGCACAGATAGCATAGGTGAGGTATGGATATATAAGTGAATGGTATAGTGTGAGAAGGGCAGTTTGCGGCACGTAGTATCGTATCTTGGAGAGGATCCCAACCGTTTTGGATACTTTTTTGGTTATGTGTTGGATATGGGTGCTGAAGTTCAGGTTGTTGTCGAGGTATAGGCCTAGGAATTTGCCCTCATTATGCCTGGCAATTAGAGTGTTGTCGATCTTAATGTTAATTTGCGCATCTCCTGCTCTGCTACCAAACATAATGTAGTAGGTTTTGTCAGTGTTAAAGCGTAAGTTTATTGGCTGTCATCCAAGTCGATATTTTGATCAGCTCCTCATTGACAATGGTGTTGAGGGTGGCAAGATTAGGGTGAGAGATGACATAAGTCGTGTTGTCAGCAAAGAGAATGGGGTTCAGGTGTTGAGATACGTTTGGAAGATCATTGATGTATATGAGGAAGAGCAGGGGACCAAGGACACTTCCCTGCAGAACTCCAGTATCAAGTGGCTGTGTTGTTGATGCTGTGTCTTTAATGGTGACATACTGATACCTATTAGTAAGGTAAGATTTGAAATATGCAAGCGCATGGCCTCTTATACCATAATGGTCAAGTTTGTGGAGTAGGATGCCATGGTCTACTGTGTCAAAAGCTTTTCTTAGGTCAATAAAAATTCCTAGTGGATATTCCTTATTTTCCAATGTTGTGTAAAGCAGATCTAGCATTTTTATGATTGCATCGTTAGTGCTTTTATTTTTCCTGAATCCAAATTGGCAGGGGTTGAGTATGTTTTGTGCCGTAATAATGAATATAGTCTCCTGTGCACGAGTTTCTCAAAGATTTTGGATAGCAATGGTAAGTTTGATATTGGCCTATAGTTGTTTAAATCTGTAGGGTCACCACCTTTATGTATTGGTGTAACCCTTGCCGTCTTGAGTAGTTTCGGGAAGGTGCTAGTTTCTAGTGACTTGATAAAAAGTAATGAGATAGCATGCGAGAGGACATGGGCAGCTCTCTTGTACAATAATGGTGGGACATTAGACAGATTCCCTGAGTTATTTTTAAGTGACTTTATAATCTTGGTGACTTCCATGGGCTCAGTTGGAGCAAGATAGAAGGAATTTGGGAAATTCCCATCTAGGTAGTCCCCGGCATGGGCATTGGTGCGTGGGATTTTATTGGCGAGATTAGAGCCTATGGTTGAGAAGAAGTCGTTTATCTTGTTAGCTGTGTCAGTGGGATGCAGTGGTGTTTCATTAGGTTTAGTTAGGGCAATATTCTTGTTTTTTTCAGTTTGTGGGTCCCTAGAATCTGAGAGAGTGTTTTCCAGGTCTTTTTTTATCTCCTCTTGTGTCAGTGAATCTACTGGAGTAGTATAGTTTTGGCTTTCTTTATTACTTTGGTGAGGACTGATGAATAGTGTTTAAGAATATCTTTATGTATTAAGCCCTGTCTATATTGCTTTTCATATTAGTGTTTCTTATCAATGGATTTCAGAATGGTGCTGGTTAGCCATGAGCAACCAAGCCGTTTGTTTGTGATCTGTTTCGTTTTTATAGGACAATGTTTGTTGTATAGTCTAAGTAATTTGTTAAGAAAAATGTCTGTCCAGTCATCAATACCATTGGCCTTGGAGAATTCTGTAGGCCAGTCAACAGTCTCTAGGTCAGCTGTGAACTTCCTTATTGAGGCCTCATCATGGAGTCTAAATGAAACTTTGTTGTATTCAAGTGGTGGTTTACTAATGTTTGTCAAGAGGAAGGTAGGGTAGTGGTCTGTAGTGCTATCTGTGATTATCCCTGATTTAAGGGGGGCTAGTATATTGGTCCATATGTGGTCTATTATGGTTGCACTTGTTTCAGTGAGCCTGGTGGTTTAGTTATTGTTGGTATGAGAAGTGTGTTGTTCATATTGTTGATGAAATCAGTTACAGGCTGATCATCTAGTAGGCCAAGGTTGATGTTGAAGTCTCCAGCTAAGAGAAGGTGGTGCTTATTCATTTGTCTGTTTGTTATTAGTGCCTTTAGTTTCTCACTGAAATTTGGGATGTTTGTGTGGGGTATCCGGTAAATGGCACCGATTGTAATAGGCATCTTAAGATTTTTTACAGTAAAATTAGCAAAAATGTATTCTCCATATTCATCACTAAAGCAAGTGGTGCTAATACAAGATAATTGGTTAGAGTAATAGATTGCAATACCACCCCCAACTTGGTATGGTCTGCAGTTGTGGATTGCTGTGTATCCTGGTAGAGGGTAGATATCTATTGTGTCCTGCTTAAGCCAGGTCTCAGTAAGAATAATGCAGAAGGGTGTCTTTAGTGATTCAAGGAGTGCCAGGAGGTTATCATAGTGTTTGCTTAAGGACCTGATGTTGTAGTTAAGTACTGATAGGCTTTTAGCATTGTTTAGGATAGTGCTGGCTTGTGATGCTGTGTAATAAAGGCAGTTACTTTCCAATAGGTTTTGATTGTGTGTCAGATTATGGAGGTTTAGATCAGGGTCAACGTGATCAATCATCTTCTAGGTTTAAATTATGGTTATTTATATCCTGAGTTGTGGGTTGAGTTTTAGTACTGATATCTGTAGTGGTACCTAGGGATTGGCAGAGAGCATGCATAGTTCCTTTGTATAAAGGCAAAGGGGACAAAAGAGAGTGCAAAAATTATAGGGGGATAAGTCTGTTGAGTGTACCTGGTAAAGTGTATGGTAGAGTTATAATTGAAAGAATTAAGAGTAAGACGGAGAATAGGATAGCAGATGAACAAGGAGGCTTTAGGAAAGGTAGGGGGTGTGTGGACCAGGTGTTTACAGTGAAACATATAAGTGAACAGTATTTAGATAAGGCTAAAGAGGTCTTTGTGGCATTTATGGATTTGGAAAAGGCGTATGACAGGGTGGATAGGGGGGCAATGTGGCAGATGTTGCAAGTGTATGGTGTAGGAGGTAGGTTACTGAAAGCAGTGAAGAGTTTTTACGAGGATAGTGAGGCTCAAGTTAGAGTATGTAGGAAAGAGGGAAATTATTTCCCAGTAAAAAGTAGGCCTTAGACAAGGATGTGTGATGTCACCGTGGTTGTTTAATATATTTATAGATGGGGTTGTAAGAGAAGTAAATGCGAGGGTCTTGGCAAGAGGCGTGGAGTTAAAAGATAAAGAATCACACACAAAGTGGGAGTTGTCACAGCTGCTCTTTGCTGATGACACTGTGCTCTTGGGAGATTCTGAAGAGAAGTTGCAGAGATTGGTGGATGAATTTGGTAGGGTGTGCAAAAGAAGAAAATTAAAGGTGAATACAGGAAAGAGTAAGGTTATGAGGATAACAAAAAGATTAGGTGATGAAAGATTGAATATCAGATTGGAGGGAGAGAGTATGGAGGAGGTGAACGTATTCAGATATTTGGGAGTGGACGTGTCAGCGGATGGGTCTATGAAAGATGAGGTGAATCATAGAATTGATGAGGGAAAAAGAGTGAGTGGTGCACTTAGGAGTCTGTGGAGACAAAGAACTTTGTCCTTGGAGGCAAAGAGGGGAATGTATGAGAGTATAGTTTTACCAACGCTCTTATATGGGTGTGAAGCGTGGGTGATGAATGTTGCAGCGAGGAGAAGGCTGGAGGCAGTGGAGATGTCGTGTCTGAGGGCAATGTGTGGTGTGAATATAATGCAGAGAATTCGTAGTTTGGAAGTTAGGAGGAGGTGCGGGATTACCAAAACTGTTGTCCAGAGGGCTGAGGAAGGGTTGTTGAGGTGGTTCGGACATGTAGAGAGAATGGAGCGAAACAGAATGACTTCAAGAGTGTATCAGTCTGTAGTGGAAGGAAGGCGGGGTAGGGGTCGGCCTAGGAAGGGTTGGAGGGAGGGGGTAAAGGAGGTTTTGTGTGCGAGGGGCTTGGACTTCCAGCAGGCATGCGTGAGCGTGTTTGATAGGAGTGAATGGAGACAAATGGTTTTTAATACTTGACGTGCTGTTGGAGTGTGAGCAAAGTAACATTTATGAAGGGATTCAGGGAAACCGGCAGGCCGGACTTGAGTCCTGGAGATGGGAAGTACAGTGCCTGCACTCTGAAGGAGGGGTGTTAATGTTGCAGTTTAAAAACTGTAGTGTAAAGCACCCTTCTGGCAAGACAGTGATGGAGTGAATGATGGTGAAAGTTTTTCTTTTTCGGGCCACCCTGCCTTGGTGGGAATCGGCCAGTGTGATAATAAAAAAAAAAAAATCTGTAGTGGTGGGAAGTTTGGACAAGTGTATAGCTATAGCATTTTGGTCATGTAGAGTATAGTCACTAATACACATAATGGAGTTGATGTTGTCTATGTGTTGTGCTGGAATGAGCTAAAGTACAACTAGGTATAAACTAATAATATAAAAATATAATTTAAAAATAGCAAAAGACTCTCACATGTAATTGCACTAAGGTCTAATGTAATGACTTTGGTATAGTCTATGTATTGAGCTAGAATGAGCTATAGTACAACTAGGTTTAATCTATTAATATAAAAATACAAATTAAAAATAGCACCAGACTCTCACTAGTAATTACACTATGGTCTAATATAATGAATTTGGTATTGACTATGTATTGAGCTAGAATGAGCTATAGTACAACTGAGTTTAATCTAATGATATAAAAAAGGCACAAGACTCTCAATTGTAATTGCACTAAGGTGTTATATAAGTTGTTTACAAGAATTAGAGTATAACTAGATTTAAGTTGGCATACATCAATGGTGGGATAAGACCTGTGCAACACTGGCATACATCAGCGGTAGGATAAGACTCGTGTAGTACTGGCATACATCAATGGTGGGATGATAAGATCCATGCAACACTGGCATACATTAATGGTGGGATGATGAATAAAACCTGTGCAAAACTGGCATACATCAGTGGTGGGATGATGAACAAGACATACTATATGCAACACTGGCATACAATACTTGCAGTGTTAGGCAAAAAGACACAGGTGCCACTAACATCAAATTAATTGGACTTGTGTCCTTTTACCTAACATATTGTCAGTAATCTACCAACATTACTACAACACTTGCATTCATCAATGGTAAGATGATTAAAACACCTGTGCAACATTTGATTATCTTTTTTTGTTGGGAAACATCATTAAAGGTACCCAAGTGTTGCACACATGTTTTATCCATCGCTAAAGGTACCCAAGTGTTGCACACATGTCTTATTCATCACTAAAGGTACCCAAGTGTTGCACACATGTCTTATTCATCACTAAAGGTACCCAAGTGTTGCCCACATGTCTTATTCATCAAAATGTCAGTATTGTATACCATTTATTATATAAATCCTAGGTGAGAGAAGTGTGTATACAGTCAATTCTCTACTTACTGGGCTAATGGAAAGGGGAAACAGAAGGCCAGTAATGACGATTGTGGCAGATAGAGTTGAGATTGCTTTGCCATAACTGTAACACCGCTCAACATTGTTATAGCTGTTGAGTAAATGTCAACATTGTTGAAGTTGTTGAGTGACTAATTATTGGTCAGACTAAAACGTCATCATGAGTTTTCTTCCTGTGTGCGGGCTATTTGTGTACAGTACAGTGCCTGCACTCTGAAGGATGGGTGACAGTGTCAGTTGTGTTATTTGACAAGTGATGGCAGTACACTTCAGGCAAGCCAGTGCTAAATTAACAATACTGAATGTTTGTTTCTTTAGGTCACTCTGGTGGAAATGATTCATGTGGTAATTTTATCATTATTATTAATTATTATTAAGAATTATTATTAAAAGGTTTTCAATTTTTTTAATTTTTGCTGTTTCTTTTCAGATTGTACCAGTAGATAAACTAATTAAAGGAAAATTCCAGGACAACTTTGAATTTCTGCAGGTATGTAAGGTATACCAGGACAAGTGTGTAGTAGTTATTATTGAAGGAGTTATTGGAAAGACATTGATCAGGATCACAGAAGAAAAGGTGTTAGGAAGGACAGGGTATGTGTAGACCAAGTGGTTGAGGTATATAAGTGAACAATAAGGTAAAGAGCAGCTTGTTGCAATTATGGATTTAGAAAAAGGCATATGTCAGAGTGGATAGGGGAGCAATGTGGCACATGTTAGTGCATGGAACAGGTGGTAGGTTACTAAAAGCAATTAATTTTTTATGCAGAGTGAGGCTCAGGTTAGGGTAAAAGTAAGACTTAGGGATGTGCGATGTAACCATGGTTATTTAATATGTTTATAGATGGGTTTGTAAAAGAAGTGAATGCTTAGGTGTTGGAAAGAGTTGTTGGACTAAAAGATAAAGAATCTAATACAAAGTGGAAGATGTTAGTTGTTTTTTGCTGATGACACTGCTCTTGGCAGAGTCTAAAGAGAAGTTGTGAAGGTTGCTAGAAGAATTTGAGAAGCTCTGTAAACGAAGGAAATCAAAAGTGAAGATAAGGAGCAAGGTGATGAGAGTAACAAAATGAATAGTTTATGAAAGATTGGATATCAGATTGGAGGGAGGGAGTATGGAGGAAGTGAATGTAGGGTCATAATTGAAAGAATTAGAGGTAAGACAGAATGTAAGATTGCGGATGTGCAAGGAGGTTTCAGAGTGGGTAGGGGATGTGTAGATAAAGTGTTTACATTGAAACATATATGTGAGCAGTATTTAGATAAAGGTAGGGAAGTTTTTATTGCACTTATTGATTTAGAAAAGGCATATGATAGAGTGGATAGGGGAGCAATGTGGCAGATGTTGCAAGTATATGGAATAGGTGATAAGTTACTAAATGCTGTAAAGAGTTTTTATGAGGATAGTGAGGCTCAGGTTAGGGTGTGTAGAAGAGAGGGAGAATACTTCCCGGTAAAAGTAGGTCTTAGATAGGGATGTGTAATGTCACCATGGTTGTTTAATATATTTATAGATGGGGTTGTAAAAGAAGTAAATGCTAGGGTGTTCGGGAGAGGGGTGGGATTAAATTATGGGGAATCAAATACAAAATGGGAATTGACACAGTTACTTTTTGCTGATGATACTGTGCTTATGGGAGATTCTAAAGAAAAATTGTAAAGGTTAGTGGATGAGTTTGGGAGTGTGTGTAAAGGTAGAATGTTGAAAGTGTACATAGAAAAGAGTAAGGTGATGAGGGTATCAAATGATTTAGATAAAGAAAAATTGGATATCAAATTGGGGAGGAGGAGTATGGAAGAAGTGAATGCTTTCAGATACTTGGGAGTTGACGTGTCGGCGGATGGATTTATGAAGGATGAGGTTAATCATAGAATTGATGAAGGAAAAAAGGTGAGTGGTGCGTTGAGGTATATGTGGAGTCAAAAAACGTTATCTATGGAGGCAAAGAAGGGAATGTATGAAAGTATAGTAGTACCAACACTCTTATATGGGTGTGAAGCTTGGGTTGTGAATGCAGCAGCAAGGAGGCAGTTGGAGGCAGTGGAGATGTCCTGTCTAAGGGCAATGTGCGGTGTAAATATTATGCAGAAAATTCGGAGTATGGAAATTAGGAGAAATTGTGGAGTTAATAAAAGTATTAGCCAGAGGGCTGAAGAGGGGTTGTTGAGGTGGTTTGGTCATTTAGAGAGAATGGATCAAAGTAGAATGACATGGAGAGCATTTAAATCTGTAGGAGAAGGAAGGCGGGGTAGGGGTCGTCCTCGAAAAGGTTGGAAGGAAGGAGTAAGGGAGGTTTTGTGGGCGAGGGGCTTGGACTTCCAGCAGGCGTGCATGAGTGTATTCGATAGGAGTGAAATGGAGATGAATGGTATTTGGGACCTGACGATCTGTTGGAGTGTGAGCAGGGTAATATTTAGTGAAGGGATTCAGGGAAACCGGTTATTTTTATATAGCCGGACTTGAGTCCTGGAAATGGGAAGTACAATGCCTGCACTTTAAAGGAGGGGTTTGGGATATTGGCAGTTTTGAGGGATATGTTGTGTATCTTTATACATATATGCTTCTAAACTGTTGTGTTCTGAGCACCTCTGCAAAAACAGTGATTATGTGTGAGTGAGGTGAAAGTGTTGAATGATGATGAAAGTATTTTATTTTGGGGGATTTTCTTTCTTTTTTGGGTCACCCTGCCTCGGTGGGAGACGGCCGACTTGTTGAAAAAAAAAAAAATTGGGAGCTGATTTGTCAGCAGATGGGTCTAATGAAAGTTGAAGTGAACCTTAGAATTGATGACGTGGAAGAAGGTGAGTGATGCACTGAGGCATCTAAAGGCACCCTTATCCATGTAGGATAAAAATGAATGAATAAGAGTGTAGTGGTACCAACATTGTTATGTGGGTGTGAATCATAGATTTTAACCATTGCAGCAAGGAGGAGGCTGAAGCCAATGTTGATGTCATATGTAAGGGCAGTGTGTGGTGGGAATATTCAGAGAATTTTGAGTTTGAAGATTTGGTATGGAGAAAACCAAAAGTATTATTCAGAGGGTTGGGGAGAGGTGCATGATGTGATTTGGACATTTAGAGATGATGGAAAATAAGAGGATAACTTGGAGGGTGTATAAATCTGGGGTAAAGGGAAGGAAGGGTAAAGGTTGTATCAGAAAAGGTTGGAGGGAGGAGATACCTGATCTGAATGATACTGGGGGTTGATGCCCTTGAGGCCTGGTCCTAAACCAAGCCTCCTGGAGGATCAAGGCATGATCAACCAGGCTGTCTCCTGGCTGGCCAAGCACTGATTTGAGGATTTTGTCCAGTTCCCTCTTGAAGACTTGCAAAGGTTCGTTGGTAATTCCCACATATATGGAGGGAGGGCACTGAAGAGTCGGGGGACCTCTCACATTCGTCGAAGTCTCTCTTAGCCTGCTCCTCGTGCCCCTGCTTTTTGGTGGAGGTGTTTTACACACACTGCCAAGTCTCTTTGTTATTTGGAGTGATTTCGGTGTTCAGGTTTGGAACCAGTCCCTTCAGGATTTTCCATGTGTAGATTATGTTCCTTCATCACCTATTTTCCAAGGAATACAGATGAAGGTACTTTGTTCCTAGTAGTTAGATGCTTGATTGAGTGTATATGAGCAGTGGAATTTCTCTGTATATTTTTCATTTCAGCAATCTTGCCTGTCTTGAAGGGGGCCATCAGTATACAGCAGTATTCCAGCCTGGAGAGTACAAGTGACTTGAAGAGAATCATCATTGACTCAGCATCTCTTGTCTTGAAAGTTCTTGTTATGCAGCCTATCATTTCCCTTGCTGTAGCAGTAACAACATTGTTGTGATCCTATCGTGTCTTGCACGGGGGACTTTTGTTCCGTTGTATAATTTGAATTTGTCCTGTACTTCATTACAATCTTTATTTCCTCCATTCTTCCATAGTGGAGCAGTTGAAACTTGTCCTCATTGTACATAATATTGTCTGAGGCCCACTGGAAGACTTGATTTATATCTGCTTGAAGATTTCCTGCATCTTTAATGGATGCCACTTGTTGAGATTCTAGTGTCATCAGCAAAGGATGTTGCATTTCTAGGATTTATTTTCTTGTCAGTGTATGATATGAGAATGAGAAACAGAAATGGAAGGAGTATCATGCCTTGAGGAACAGAGCTTTCTACTGTGGCAGCCTCTAATGTCACTCTGAGTTCTATTTGTTATGAAGTTAAATATCAATCTGCCCACTTTTCCAATCACCCCATGGTGGCATTTGTCGAACACTTTTGCAGAATCATTGAACACTACATCAGCATTTAGCTTGTCTTCTAGTGCATACAGGACCATGTGGTAATGATCTATCAATTGTGAAAGGTAGGAGTGACCTGCTGTAAACCGATGCTTCCCTGGATTGTGCAATTGTTATGATTACAGGTGATTAACAATCTTTTCTTAGTGACTCAAAGATTTTGATAATGTGTGAAGTTATGGCTGTCGGTCTACATTTTGTGAAATGGGTCAGTATCAGTGGTTTTCATGACTGTGGTATGACACCAGTGTCCTGACTCCTCCTCCATGAAATACTAAAGGCCTCAAGGTAGTGGTTTTCTACAGTTTTTCATAAGTATGGAATTCCTCGAGTTTGGTCCTGGAGCAGAGTTTATGGTCATGCTGTCGATGGCTTCTTCAGAGTCATCTGGGAAGAGAACTACGTTGGACATTATGAAGATCATGCCAGGGTTTTGAGTCTTGAAAATTTCATTTGGGTCATTGATCTGTTGCACTGAACACAGTCATATTGTGACCTCTGTATTTCACTCATTACCTTATTGTCATCAGTTTACGTTCAGTCGCCTTTAAGGCCTTATACTGGCTGTGGTTTTTCACCCTGTATTTTATTAGAACAAGAACTATTTGGGACTTATCATTTTCATTTATGGCTCTTTGTTCCCTCTGTCTTGACTGACCTCAATACGATGCAGTCAGTTTGTGCTCCATGGTCTGTTTCTCTAACCAGAATTTTCCCTTCATGTTTCAGAGATTAACCCTTTGAGGGTCGACAGGCCCTCTCCGAAACTCGTTCTCAGGGTCGGCCAAATTTAAAAAAAAAAAAAAATTATTTTCTCTTATGAAAAGATAGAGAATCTTTTCCCGATCATAACGACACCAAAAGTTTGAAATTTGATAGAAAACTTACGGAATTATGCTCTCGCAAAGTTAGCGGTCTCGGCGATGTTTACGGATCGGCGATTTTGCCCACTTTGAGCCCCATTTTCGGCCAATTTCACTGTACTAGTCGACAAAAAACATGAATATTTCGCTAGAACTCCATTTTTTCTATCGAATGGGTGCAAGAAACCACCCATTTATAAATTCAACTATCCAGTACAGTGGTCAGAATTTAGCAATTTTGCCAATTTCACACAAATTTCAAAAGATGCCAATTTCGGAATAGGGTCCAGAATAAACAAGAAAGACATTCCTGGCACTAAAATGACATTTCCTCT